TTACATTAAAAGAATCCCACATAGACAATAAAACATAATAAAACAAGTCCCACCCCCTTAAAAAAGAATTAAATCAAATGCCTTGCTAAAACTGATGTTCAAGCACCAGTAAGGAAAAATCTAAGAAATATAAAAATATAAAAAAGGCCATGGCAATTAAAGGGGTGTCAAAATGGATTATTTCTGCAGTGCGGACGCAGTCTAGGATGACAGAGACTCTCAACTTGCCATAGCTTCAAGGCGAAGGGTAAAAAGAAACACCAGCCACAGATGGGAAGGAGATGGGGAATTGACATAAGCCCAGCCTTTTCCTCCTTAAACCTATGGAGATTATCGCACAAGGATATAAACCATCTTACCTGAGCCAGCTTAAAATTAGACGCGGGTGGCATCCTGATATTATCAGATGCATTTAGCCACCGAAATCGCCACCCGGGTCCAGCCCGGGTCCATTGCCGCTCAGAGGGAAGCCATTTTTTCAAGGAAAACTCCTCGCTTTGAAAAGAGGCGCAAGGAACCCCCCTTCGAGCGGCGATGGACCCAGGTGGCAGTTTCAGCGACTAAATGCATCTGATAATTTTAATTTTAAGCCAGCTCAGGTAAGCCGGTTTATATCCTTATGCGACAATCTCCTTTGCGTACCTTGCCATGTTTATCTCTGTTGTTTTGTTGTCCTTGTCTCTCTGGCAGAAACCTTTCCTCTCGGAAGAACAACGAGTGGATTACGTCCAGGTCGATGAACAAAGAACTCAGGCTCTCCAGAACACTAAACAGGAATGGACGGACGAAAGGCAATCGAAAGTCTGAAGAGGCATTTCTTGGTTAGCATGATTTTGCACATGGAAATCCAGGTTGCAGGAATGGTCCAGCGGAGACGGCGAGAAAGCCAGAGCGTCTAGCAGCCTCCCTCCTGTTCTCATAAGCAACGTCTTTTGAGTATGGCAGGAGCGCATCACTGAGAAAAAGGAATAATTCATCGCTTAGCCACATTAACACCATCGGTGTCACCTTCTTGATCGCCCTTTCCAAGAAGGATCTGTGGTACCATTTTAAGACTTGAATCTGGGAACAAAAGCCTTGTCACGTCACACTGTAAAAACCTCTGAATTGTGGTTGGTTTATTTTTTTTTCAGGAAAGAGAAACACACACACACACACACATATATATATGAAATCTTGCTATTTAACAGATGCTGCCTTGGCTGTGGCATCTGGTACTGACAGATGTTGGGAGAAT